ATATATATAAATACATTATACAGGAAGACGAGTTTGAGGATGATGAAGATGACGAGGAAACGATTGCAACTTTTGTCACTGCGGCGGGACAACAGTTGGCTCTCTATGCCGTGGAAGATTCAGACGAGATATTTGCTGTCGCCGTTTACAATGAGTCCGACGAACCTCCGACTAACTTCCAGTTTCTTATGAAGTAAGTCAATGAGAAAAATAAATTCACCCAATTTCAGTTAAAAACTTTGGTATTTAAAATCTGTAGGCAAGCGGTTTACCTCCATTTTTAGTTCACTAACCGATCAATCAATGTTCTAGTGACTAAAAATGATAAAATAGTGATTTAATTCGATTCCTCATATTATTCTACGGAAAAACATCTATATACACTTTATTTTTTTGTGTGGTCGTTGAATAGGTATAAAAAATTTTTTGTTTAAAAAATCTAAATTTTGAATAAAAATTCCGAAAAAAATTCTGTAAGATTAATTGGATCAAAATGGATATTTTTTATCTGTGAGACTTTTTGTTTAAATCAATAGTTTTTGAAATAAAAAATGTCTAAACTTGAAAAATAACTACTTTTATAATTTTTTTTCTCAGAAACTAGTCATCCAATAAGTATGAACAAAAAACGAAGCCGCATCTGTGGCCTTATATAATAAAATTTTCACTGTCAGTAACAGTACAGATCAAAATAAAATAAAATTCTTGTTTTAGTTTAAGATTGGAACGAATATTTTCGTTTTTTATTCATACTGGTCGAGGAATCGAATTATTTTCAGCCAGTAAAACGTTGATCGGTTAGTGCACTTTTTAAGCGATTTTTTGGGGGTAAATCGCTCATCTACTAATCTTCTTCATCTACTAATCTAAGACTGAAAAATTTTTTCAACACAGAAAAAAATGATTTCAATTAGGTGATGATTAAATTGTAATCTCTTTATCTTTTTACTTGGTTTTATATGTAGATTACCAGGACTACAATTATGGCTGTAATTACAGATCAGACGTGGAACGTTTAATAGGCGAAGGTGCCGTTCGAACGGTGAAAAAACCGTCGCAGATGAAAAAACGAGTGTTTACTGCCAAACCACCGATGCTTTGTCGTAAGGAAGAAGCGAACGAGAAGACTTCTATCTGCGATGCATCAGTCAACAGTGAAAAGAATATTGCGCAAGAGGACGGTAGCAGAATAGTACATAATTATGAAACTTACCAAAACTGTAGCGACAAGATTAATTTAGAGTCTAGTGATAGTGTTCACACAGTTGTCGACGAACAACCGGATATTACGTATCTCATGATGAACGACAGTTTTGTCAATATCGGTATGTATATAAATGTGAATGTAAAATGATAGTAGGTTTCTTTAATAAAACGAAATGTATGTGATGATCGTCGCAATCAGGCGTCATCAATGTAAAAGTAATAAAATTAATTGTTCTGAATTTTTTATACATAATTTATTCTGTAAAATTTCAATCTGCTTGAAGAAAGTATTGTTCATGTATAATGAAGCTATCGGTAATTTGAAGTGACAATTCTAATTTTATCTAATAAATATCATTTGAGTAAATACAAATATAAGCAATTAATGCATAACATGATAACTTACGGAGATAATATTTGTTCTCTTTACATAATATATAAGAAATTTATATTTTTATTTAAAATATAAAGTAAAATTTTTTTATAAAAATTAT